GCAGGAGCATATGTTCAGTCTTAAAATGCCTAGCAAATTACGGACCAGGCAATAAGTCCAGACGAAGCTATGCAGGAGCATATNAATCGTCAGCTATGGAAAGATCGGGTTCCAAAGGCCGGATCCCTTGTGAATCAAGTCACGAAAAATTCAAGAATCGGCAACAGGCCATGGGCCTATTTCTTCAGTGCCGACACTTCTATTCTATATATATAAGAGCCATTATAGCTATTGCCTTCCTTTTGAAGTTCATTCAACCTGTGCAATCTGAAGTTTTGTATTCAGACAGAATAGTTTTCAATCGTGAATAAATTGACGAGTGTCTTCTACTCAATAATTCGGTCAATTTTAATTTAACTGTTAAAAATCGGGAACCTCTTAACCCTGAAATTAAGGATTTCAATATTACACAGAGGTCGTTCAGAAAGAGCAACATGTTCAATAAAAAAACTATTGCCAGTTTATTCAATTCAGTGACTTAGGCGCGCGAGTGTCGTCCTCCTAATTGCGGTAATTACAAATTAATTCAAAATAAAAAATAAAAGTATGTAATACAGCGCGCGCACCAATGAATAATATTGATAATTAGGTTGAGCAGACACCTCATCACACGAGACATTTCCTCACTCTAGCAATCCACCATAAATTTCATCATTAAATAAAGTGTCTATGGCAAACTTGAGTACATGTAGGTTGGGTTTGATAAATAAATAAATGATAAAATGACCCGATGATGTAACGTCTCCTCCATGATGTCAGAGAACCGATAAAATAATCAGCGGCCAGCGAACGAGTAGCAATCGATGCTACAATCGCACCCGCGATAACAACATAATTTATTCTGAAGACGTTATAGTATATATAGAGTTCCAACGCTGTCCTAACTCTACCGCCTGTCACGGTCGACAGCAGGTTGAAGATTGGCAGGTTGAAGATTGACAGGTTGAAGATTGACAGGTTGAAGATTGACAGGTTGAAGATTGACAGGTTGAAGATTGACAGGTTGAAGATTGACAGGTTGAAGATTGACAGTGTCAGCGAACGTCGGTTCGAAATATTATTTAAGGGTGGTATACAAACAAAGTCCAGAAGACGGGTCGCATTTATAAACTACGATAAATGTTACAGGCTAAAGATAGAAGTAATACGAGAAAGTCTAACGGATTGAATATAAGTGAACGGAGTGAATATAAGTGAATACAAATGAACTCGTGGGACAAGGTTCAGTCCTAAAGAGCTGACCTGCTCAGTGTGGGGGAATAGGGTCGAATTGAAGGTCGAATTGAAATTTTAAGTTGTCAAATTCACTAATAAAGCAAATGCGGTTGCCGCCTTGCGGCGTGACGCGTCGATGACGTCATCGCATTTAATGGAACAGTGCGGGACTTTACACTTCATCACTGAATCTTATGCCATTTTTTCATATTATATTAGGCCTGTTATGGAATCAATAAATAATTTTCTGTAAAAAGAAGACTTATTTACACTCGGCATTGCATTAGTTGAAGGAAATAGATTTTGTTGCTAAATTAGGACTAAAAATTTCATGCTACTGTCGAACTACTGTCTAATAACTTCTGACAAGTACTCACTAGGAAGGTGTTTCAAGACGTCTTCTCTTGGCAGGTATGTCAAAACGTTTCCACTTGGCAGGCGTGTCAAAACGTTTCCACTTGGCACGTGTGTCAAAAGATTTCGATTTAAGAGAATCAATATATATTACTGAACCATCTATCACTTTAAAACAATATTCTTACAGGAAAATATGCACGACACTAATGATAAATCAGATGCACTTATGATAATTAATGATAATTGTTAAACACAAAAATGGTAATTAACGACACTAATGATAATTATTGATTACTGAAGCTGCATCGCTACTCCCAACTGCGTGAAATATTGCAGCGAAGTACGCGGTCCGTGATCCGCACTGCCGCGGCGTCCGGTAAATACAGGCTACAAACTACACGCACACGTCACACGCATACAGCACGCTAGTGTGTTTACACATCTGTACTTGACAGGTGTGCCGAGATATTTCAACTTGGCAGGTGTGTCAAGACATCTCAGTTGGCATGTTTGTCACGACATCTCCGCTTGGCAAGTCTGTCAAGACATCTCCACTTAGAATAGAATAGAAGTGTCGGCGTTGAAGAAACAGTCCCATGGCCTGTTGCCGATTCTTGAACTTTTCGTGACTTAATTCCACAAGGGATCCGGCCTCTGGAACCCGATCTTTCCATAACTGACGATTGATTGAGATAGACTTATTGCAAGTCCGTCTCAATCTGCTTATTGCTGCTGGACTTATTAATTGCAAGGCTCTTGGCATGTTTGCCCAGTTTGTCACCAATAACGTAACTGCTGCGGTGAACTCATTCATTAACAAAATAAAACTATTAATTATTTCAATGGTCGTAGTTCATGTGTTGAAAGTAAAATGTTGAAACGTCGAGAATTTTTGACGTTGCATCAGTTTTCTTAGATCAAGATTACCGTGAGGCGTAGAAGTGATATAAAGCAAAATTAAAAAGTAATGCACAAAGTGTGACGTCGTTGTACTGAAAATGGTATAGCGGATAGGAGGAACAAAAGAACGTTTGTGAAATTAGGAAAAAGGGGAAATGTGAGAAAGAATAAGGGTAGCAGAAGTAATGAGAGAAAAGAAAATGGATAACACGAAGTTGAAAATTATGCAATAATAATAAAATCGTTTCAGCATTTGTAAGGGCGTAGGCCTTTTGCCGATTATTAACATCGTGGAACATTCACAGCTTGTTGCGGATCTTGAACACGCAAGTTACTGTTTAAATTTTGCCGTGCATAATCGCCCGGCCTCCTTGCCGATTCAGCCCAGAAACTATCGCAGGTAGCTGGGACCAAACTCGCACCTCTCTGCTCCAATCCTAGTCCTCTGAACTGTACCCACCGGGCCCCCTTGGTAGTAACATAGGAGGTGATTGTGATGCTAAACTCTTGGTTGGTGATGAGCCTCGGCAGTAAGTGGGTGGCTCAGTGGTTACAGTTCAGAGTACCAAGATTGCATCAGAGAGGCGCGGGTTCGATCCCAGCTCTGTGCGCCAGTTTCTGGTCAGAATCGGCAAGGAGGCCGGGCGGTTAAGCACTGTAGAATTGTAGCAGCGAGTTGACGTTCGAGACCGCAACAAGCTGTGAATATTCTGCGATGTTAAGAATCGGCGACAGGCTTACGGCCTACTAAACGCTAAAACCGCTATTATTATAAGTGCACTGCGTAAAGGTAATAAGGTGGTGGATGGGTTAGAGGAGGAAGCATGCAGCCAGTAACCTACTTACGGTGGCCTGCCTGCAGTCAATAAGCTGCTATTTGTCTCCACTATCATCACATCATTTCCTTCATCACTATCCCTCCTGGTTTATAATCACACATCATATCCTCATCCCAATCCATTCTGGTCTCCATCATCACACATCACTTCTTCATCACCATCATTCCTGGTCTCCATCATCACACGTCATTTCTCCATCACCACCCTCCTGGTCTCTTTCATCACACATCATTTTATCACCATCCCTCCTGGTCTCTATCATCACACATCATTTTATCACCATCCCTCCTGGTCTCTATCATCACACATCATTTTATCACCATCCCTCCTGGTCTCCATCATCACACATCATTTCTTCATCACCATCCATCCTGGTCTCCTTCATCACACATCATTTCTTCATCACCATCACACATCATTTCTTCATCACCATCCCTCCTGGTCTCCATCATCACCATCACACATCATTTCCCCCATCACCATCCCCACACTCCCCCTCCCTCGAGCCGTTATTAAAGAACAGAATAACGTTGTTCTCGGCGCCGCCTCGCGTCTAATATGTAAATTATTTAATGAATGCATAATTAAACTTCGCGTTGTTTACGCAAAACTCCTCGCCCTGGCCGGCCAAAAGACGCCGAATATTTTTCGCTTTTTCGCGTAATTCAGAAATTATTGTAATGAAAGATGGGGAAAGGTGCCGAGGGCTGGCGCGTAATGAGGGGAGGTTATTACGAGGGGAAACCCTCGGTTACTGAACTCTTTGTTATGCCACGTTATACATTAACACGTTCGGTGCGATCACGTCACTTAAGTCCTAAGCGCAGCCAACACATAGTTTTTGTTTTCAAAACTTTGTTTCCACTAATAAAATAAATTATTATTTAAATAAATAAGTAAATCGCAGGTAAAGTGGCGCTGCTCGCGAGGTTATATTTGTACTATTTTCCGTAACAGAAAATTGCGTCAAAAATAGCCGAAAGTGAAAAATTAATTTCTTTTCCTAAACAAATATTTCAGGACATTTTAATTCTTTGAAACGATATTGTGGATAATAGTTCATTTCTTCATCACCAATTTATATAAATTTACAGAGTCAGGCTCCAGACATACGAGCTAAAGTAAAATAAATTTATTTCTTCCAATAACTGAGGGCCCCACAGCTCCTCTGATTGACGGGCGTTTATACGGAAAATGTTCAAAGATTAGAATAGTAAACCATTAAAAAATAAAGATAAAACAAACTACCCCACTCCTTAATTAATTCTGGTACAAATGATACTAGGTTTTCTCGACGCTCTTGCGCCAAATCAGTAACATGATCGGGAAACCATAAATGGTCTGAAGGAAGTATAATAAATTAACTGGAATAGAATTTTTGCAATGACATGGAAAGGGAGAAAGAAGGGAAAGTTTAACAGCAACCAAGAGGGGAAAGTTAAACAGCAACGAAGAAGCAAAAGTTGAGCATCAACGAAAAAAAATATTAGCTAATTCTGTCAGGTTTTACAAGAGGAATTATCAATGATAGAAACAGTCAACACAAGCCAGATGTTTCATCAATTGAACAATGAACAACAAAAGAAATTTATTTATTTCTTGAGTAGTTAACCTGGCATTACTAATTTCGTTATTTATTATAATTTCACTATGAGATATTTGTGGAGGAGGGGAAATAAAAATAGCGCGGCATATCAGGCACAAACGAGCCGACATTTAATATAAAGATACATTTTACAAATAAATTTCTTTCTATTGCAATTCATTTGCTCCCGTCTAACTGATTTTCTACCGCCGTGTTAAACATAATTCTAAGAAATCATGAATGAATTTCATTCAAAACAACAACCAATAATGAATGGAAGACCTGAAGAATGAGCAAAATATGATGTTCAACGGTAATTTAATTACATTACTAGAACAGAGAATAACTACATAAAAACAATAATAAGTACGCAACATTTAATACTTCGTATCGTGACGACTCGAAACCAGGTATAGTATTTTGATAGAAACTATGAACATTATTTGCTTCCATAGTACAGAATATTGAACGCCAAATATCTAATTGAGATAAAGTATTCATCATATAAATATACCAGGACATAATACTAGTATTGAAACTGGTACAGGTACCGGTACACAATACTGGTACAGGTACCGGTACACAATAGTGGTACAGGTACCGGTACACATTACCGATACAGGTACCGGTACACAATACAGGTACAGGTACCGGTACACAATACTGGTACAGGTACCGGTACAAAATACTGGTACAGGTACCGGTACACAATACTGGTACAGGTACCGGTACACAACACTGGTACAGGTACCGGTACACAACACTGGTACAGGTACCGGTACACAACACAGGTTCACAACACATCACAGATTATTTCTCCTTGCGGGCCTCGGCTCTGGTGACGCGTCTCGGGACGTCGTCCCCGTCGTCCTCCTCCTCCCCGGCGGGGGGAGGCGCCACGTCCACCTCCGTGGGGGAGTCTTCGTACCTGTGGGGGAGTGGGGGAGTTAATACAGAATAATGATTGGTTCATGAGCGGACCATGAGTAGTAGTCCATAGCCGCCATTACAGCTCACGTAGCGGCCAAAGTACACGTAGCGGCCTGAGTACACGTGGCAGCCTAAGTACGCGTAGCGGCCTAAGTACACGTGGCGGCCTAAGCACACGTAGCGGCAGACTTCTCATCAGTAATTGGTGGGTTTAAATTGAAAAACTGTTAGTAATTGGCTGTCGCAGTTACGAACTTGTAACTATTCTTGATAGTGTTTCTTGCAGCAGCAAATTTCCAGCCCCCCTGACTGCAAAGCACTCTTTTTAGCGCATTTTCTCATTTATGGAAAAAATACACTATTGCGCTCGCCATGTCCGTCTGTCCGTCCGTCCGTGACCTCAAGTTTTAGTCGACGAGAAAATGCGCTCTCTGTCACTCACTGCAGTGAGTACTGAGTTATATTTTTTTTTATTCTTCGAGACTTTAACCCTTCGCCGCCTGACATGAGTAACCGGAGCAATATTGTCACGCGCCTACTTCCCCAAAAGGTTACGTTCTAGTGAGCGCACAATGACTTGCACTGATGGTTGCCGCCACGTACGGCAACTTTAAAATGTTCTCTGTTGCGTACAAACGTCCTCAGGTTGCTACACTCAATAGTTTACGTATAATTCAAGTTGAAAGTTATGTTCCTGCGAGAGTGACATACGGCGGTAGAGGATTAAATTGATGATGCAGCTGGTCTCCAGAATGTTTTCTATGAGGATATTGTGGATTTATATGGCACATTCTTTGATTTTAAATTATTGACAAAAACTGTTAAATGGAATGCTAGAAATATTAAATTGAAGGCTAATAGACGAGGGCACCTTACCTGACGAGGGTGCTGAAGTCACCCTTGAGGGCAGCGAGGGCCGTGGGCACGCCCAGGCACGCGGGCACGAGGTAGAGAAGGGCGGGCTGCGCGTGCTTGTACACGTGCATCACCAGGATCGTGGCCAGCAGCCCGACGAGGTACGCGCCGAACGTCGCCGTGAAGTACGTGTAGCTACCGCGCTTCAGACTGCAATAAATCGTATACATCGTATTATTCGATATATTTTATTATAAACAATAAGAATTAATAAAGATACATTACAATCGCGGTGTATACATATTATATTATTAGCTATCGGCCCGTAACTGATCGTCGCCTTGAAGTACGTATAGCTACCTTGCATCAGACTGCAATACATTATTATGGATTACATCGAGTTGTAAACAAAACGGAATATTAAAGATACATTACATACATGCATACATCTTGTATTAATAGATCTCGACCCGTAACCGATGATAATATGTGACGAAAGTACATGTAGCTACTTCGCTTCAGACTGCAATAAATCGTATATATCGTATTATGTATGTAGTATTATTATGACTCACATTCAGTTTATAAACAATAAGAACTGATAGAGATACATTACAATCGCGATGCATACATATTATATTAATAGATCTTGACCTGGAACTGATGATAATATGTGATGAACGAGCCGTAAAATACGTGTGCCTGTACTTGTAGTAGGCGCTCTAGCGCTTAGATACTAAAGGAAGCACCAAATTAACTAAGCACAGAATAAAAATAAAATAATAATCAGAAAATTGAGCACAAAATTAAGAGGAGCAAGATTGTGAGCCTTGTACCTTTACTGTTCCTGGTTGTTACTTGTCACGTACATCTAAAACAAATACGTGCCAATAATGCCAGGGCTTTCAATTATTTTAAGCAAAGGCCAGCTAGTATCACATGCCGTGGAATGATTTTATGAAGAAACAACATATCAATTGCACATAATCTACAGTATCAGCACATTATCTATTTTATATGTACATCATCTACTGCATCGGCACATCATCTAAAGTATCCGCAAATCGTTTACTGCATCACCCCATCATCGCCCCACGATTACACCACCATCACCCCGTCATCACCACACTACTTTACAATCACCCAGTCATCGTCACCATATTACAATGATTCCGTAATCACCACCACACCACTATAGTCACCCCGCCATCACCACACCATAACCCCATCATTACCCCACCATCACCCCGTCATCATCACACCACCATCACCCCGTCATCACCACACTATTACACCATCACCTCATCATTACACCATCACCTCATCATCACCACACCATCACCCCAACCATCACCCCGTCATCACACAACCATCACCCCGTCATCACCCCGTCATCACACCACCATCACCCCGTCATCACACCACCATAACCCCGTCATCACCCCGTCATCACACCACCATCACCCCGTCATCACCACACCATCACCCCATCATCACCCCGTCATCACCACACCATCACCACACCATCACCCCGTCATCACACCACCATCATCCCGTCATCACACAACCATCACCCCGTCATCACACCACCATCACCCCGTCATCACCACACCATCACCCCATCATCACCCCGCCATCACCACACCATAACCCCATCATCACACCATCATCACCTCTTATCAAATCTGAGGAGGAGGGCGATGAAGATGCCGGGGATGACGATGTCGCCGAGGCCGAGCATCGCGAAGTTCGAAGCAGAGAAGCCCTTCTCCAGCAGGTCTTGGGGGAACACCACTGCGGGGTAATGGGGGTTACTGGTCGGGGAACACCACTGCGGGTAACGGGGGTTACTGGCGTTACTGGTCGGGGAACACCACTGCGGGGTAACGGGGGTTACTGGTGGGGGAACACCACTGCCGGGTACGGGGGTTACTGGCGTTACTGGTCGGGGAACACCACTGCGGGTAACGGGGGTTACTGGTCGGGGAACACCACTGCGGGTAACGGGGGTTACTGGCGCTGCTGGTCGGGGAACACAACTGCGGGGTAACGGGTGTTACTGACTGGTGTACATGTCATTTATTAATCATGTTTCATATACATGAAATTATGCTCCATAGAACAAGATAAGCACTCTCGTCCTTCACTAGAAACTGAAGTTTGAATTATGCCTAAAAAATTTCATTTCGTTACAAGTGGCAGTCGTTCCATCGTTTATCAATCGACGTTTGTTACGATTCCAGGAATCGAAAATTCACTACAAACTGCACACAATTTAATTATGAAAGTGAAAACTATTAAAGCAACTACATAATTATATAATACACTGAATAAGCACAATTATCCGTAAGTAGCGTTATAATTAAACTAAAAGCACAAACGGGATACTAATATCCAGGTTCAGTTCTTAGGCAAGGCTAGGGAATCGCATTATTCCTAAGAAAAAAAAGGTTAGGCCTCGTTTTAACTTTTTAAGCCAGCAATAATTTCGTGTGTGGAGGAAATAATATGTTATTATAGTGGGTGTGAGGCAGATGCAGGTCTAGCAATGACATGAAATTAATGCAGGGGCAGAGTTCAGATCTTAATTTGTATTGACACAAGGAATGAGGTTAGGATTACGAGAACAGAGACGGCCAGCACACAACGATCAATATCTGCAGACAAGAAAATCTTGTGGCCAATAATTATAATTAACACGTCTGACGAGGCAGCAAAAGCTAGGACTGGTGGTATCTAAAACGCACGCTACTGAGGTTGCTGGGGCCTTAAATTCGCGCCACTGGGGTCGCTGGGGTTCAAAACGCTCGCCACTGAGGTTGGCTGGGCCCAATACGCACGCCACTGGCATTTGTGAGGCCCAAAACGCTCGCCACTGAGGTTGGCTGGGCCCAAAACGCACGCCACTGGCATTTGTGAGGCCCAAAACGCTCGCCACTGAGGTTGGCTGGGCCCAAAACTGACACTTAATTGGGGCCTCGAAGCTCCTGGCGACGGTGACCATGACGTTGGTGCCGAACACCCAGAAGATGTCGTAGACGAAGAGCCCAGCCAACAGCAGCGCGCCTGTCGTCACGCTGTTCAGGGAGAGCAGCTCGATACCGTTCACTGCAAACGCCAGACCGAGCAGGTTGTTGGCCACCCAGTGCTGTAAATTATAATAAATGTGGCGTAATAATTGTTATAATATTCGAAATATACATCCATGGAAGGTAGGATAACTTAATTGTAGCATACACCTACAGCTGCATGCAGATCACACATTACAATCAGGGTATTCAACTTAAGTCAATATAAAGACTCACAATTTACAATGTTTATCTTTTGTCATCAACGCCATTTATGGTGCCAAAAGGTCAAGTATGAGAGTTACCGTCAGTTGAAAGAAGATGCACTAGTGAATAGATTAGTTGTCATCAACGCCATTTGAATCAAATAGTTTAATTTATAGCCCGGTACCAAATTGTGAGATAACAAGAGTTATCCTTAGATAACAACACTGTGGCACGCACCTTTTTGATGATGTACCAGTAACAGTTGTAGTCTAATTCAAGGTAACAAGAGTTACCCTTAGAAAAGAACGCTGTGTCACGCACCTTCTTGATGATGTACCACAGCCCAATGAGGGAACATAGAGCCACGCATACGCAGTCGTGGGTCGAGAACGCAAGGTTCAACAGCTTCTCCTGCCCCTCTGTCTTGTCTTGCTTCTTAGAGGGAGGGGAAGTGCACGTCATGACGAGGGTGTACGTGTGGAAGGGTACGATGGAGGGTACCAAGCTCGTCACAAATGGACTGCACGTACATAAATAAAAGTCGTTAGTTAATTACTGGTCACAAATGGACTGCATGTACATAAATAAAACACTGGTCACAAAGGGACTGTATGTGACATGCTACTGGTCACAAATGGACTGCACGTACATAAATAAAACAGTCATTAATATTGAAGAACTGCTAAAGCGACAGAGAAGTTAATTACTGGTCACAAATGGACTGCATGTACATAAATAAAAGTCGTTAAAATTGAAGAACTGATGAAACAAGGGAGATGTTAATTATACTGGTCACAAATGGACTGCATGTACATAAATAAAACACTGGTCACAAATGGACTGCAAATACATAAATAAAACAGTCGTTAATATAGAAGAACTGGTGCAGCTGACAATGGTGAATGAAGTACATGACAAAGGGATCATGCAAGCAAGATTGAGCTTGTGAATATATTAGAAAATTCATGATGAAATTAAATGCACATGAAAAGGAGCAATGCATTTTATTTATGGTATTTCATTTTTTTATAAATAAACCTCACTGATAGTGAGGTTTATTGAACCTCACTACTTGAGCCTCACTAATGTGAGAAAAAAGCTTTGGCAATCAATCACAAATGAAATACCGGTATGTTGAAAAATCTGCACAGTTAAATAAATTGTGGATTTCAAGAGAATTACATCTTATTGTAACATTCAAGAATCATATTTCATTAAATTTTGTCTAGAATGCATGGTAATTCAAATATCACATAACGGCTAATCTAATAATAATAATAATACTTGAATAAATAATAATAATCTGACCTGAACACCTGAGTCATGGCGTAGATGCCGAGGAAGAAGAAGTAGGAGCTCAGCAACAAGTTGATGTACTCCTTTGAGAATATCTGGAACAGACACAAGGCATTATTGAAGCACCAATGCAACACACTAGACCAATTTAGGTGAGTTTGCATAGATGAAATCAAACAATTGGGCAAGTGGCTTTTGGCATGCTGTTGGCAGTGCTCAATAACTCTTTTACAACACTTCTCTTTAACTTCACTTCTTGTCTGTCTGTCTGTCTGCTACAAATCTTGTAATCGAAATTTAATACACTTCTACTTATCCTATCGATCTGAAATTTTGCCCACTTGTGTAAAGTTGGAGACAATGCATGAATCAAATGTCAAAATAAATGATTTTGGAAATTAATTTTTTTTTTCAATAGTAAAAAATTTAAAAAATAATTTTTCCAGCTACAAATCTTATAACTGATATTTGACACACTTTTACCTGTCTAATTGATCTGAAATTTTGCACACTTGTGTGAAGTCAGAGGCAATGCACGAATCAATTAACAGAATAAATAATTTTGAAAAAAAATTTATATATTAAAAAAATGTATATATATTAAAAAAATTGAAAAGGTAATGTTTTTAATTTTCGAAAATTAGATGAGAAATTCCTTGTACATCTGTAAGATTGGAGATACTGGATTCTTTGGAAGTGTTGTCTTTAAAAAGTAGTTTTTAAACGTATATTATTACACATCTGTTCATACATTTCCGAACATGATATTAAAAACTAATGTTATGGTGGTCATAAAAATGTCCAAGTCATAACATCCATTTAAAATAGAGACTATAAATTGAAAATTAAAATTTCATCATTTTATGGGAATCAGAGTTGACCAAGTTGGACTATTTTGGAAGGATTATCAAGTGAGAAGTAAATATGTGAAGACTGGTGTTACATAAACTCTCATTTTATACTATATTATAATGGCACTAGCCATGAGAGGAGACCATTTAACCCTCTACTGCTGTATGTCACTCTCCGGGAACATAAATTTCAGCTTAAATTATATGTAAACAATTGAGTGCAGCAACGTAAGGACGTTTGTATGCAACAGAGAACATTTTAAAGTTGTTGTACATGGTGCCAACCATCAGTGCAAGTCATTTGTGCTCACTTGCAACTCATCTTTTTTAGAAAGTAGATATGTGGCAATACCGGTATTGCTCCGGTTACTCATGTCAGGCAGAAGAAGGTTAAAAGGTTGAATAGCCTAATAATGATTTATGCAGGGAATATATCACTGAAGAAAATAATGACCAAGATTTAAAATTTTGTTTATGAACTGTTAGGCTACCATCTCAATGCATTGGCAACTAATAAAGGGAGCATTGGGACACCCCCAGACACTGCTCAACATTTTGGGGTGGCAAACAGGTAGAAATTAGAGGTCATGTGTTCTCAGCTTCACAAAGAATCATGTCCATGAGGTTTCAAATACACTTCAAAGTGTACACAACAAAATTCTAGAGTGCATGAAAATACAAGGCAAGATTGCAGCTCTCACACAATGGGTGCAGATGTATGACCAGAGTTGTGTCCTAATGGTTGATTCCATGTATAAGTAAAACATACCTATGCAATTCCAATATTAGCTTATTAACTTAGTACTTAAGACTTACTGAAAAATTATGAATGTCATAGATGTTAAATTTAATGATAAGTGTGGTTATCATATAACAAAAAAAGATGGCAGTTTTTCACTATAAAATTGTATTCTTTGTGACATATAAGACCATTAAATTTTGTTACTAATTTGGACAACAAACTAAACTAACCAAGGCAGAAAACATAAGTTGAAAGTAACAAAATTATAAAAGAATTAGAATTATAGTATCTAAACTGGCAAAGAGAATTAACAATGGAATTATTCAAGTAGGAAAAAACTCACCATGAATATTAGGTATAAGCCAAATAGTGCGCAGGAGGCAATGATGGGGAACATTGCTGCATCTTTGCTAGTGACGGTGTCCAATTTTTCTCCAGCAGCCTGAAAAAAAAATGTCATCAATGACATACAGTAATTATTTTCATGTTAAATATATTCAGTAATATTTAAATATCCTCTACAAGATAAAAATGCTTGTCTGATTTTCAAATGTTTGCACAAAAATAGCTAATATCTTGCACATCATTCAAGATTGTGTAGATCTATGTCTATTTAGGTAGCCTGGGTAATATATGAACATTTGTTAAGCACTACACTACCACTTAAATTGCAATGAATCTTGGCCACATGCCTACATCATTATGCATTTAATGATCCATCAATGACACATTAGTATGGCAATAGACTGAACTCAATGGTACCTTATCACAAGAATATAATAATTACAGAAATGAAATTGCTCATTGGACATAGAAAGAATTATCCATGGTCATGGTTAATTGATCTTTGATACAGAGGCTTTAGCTTAATATTACCAGCCAAAATCTTAAAATTTCAGACCTTTCATCATCATCATTCATCCATACAACTTTGAAAAATAATATTAAAAAAATAATACCTTTATTTTCCAAGATTGAAATAAACTTCAAACAGATTTCAAAAATGTTCAAGCACCATGGCATCATTCTCAGAACTAATTTAAATGTTGTCAGTTGCTAATATAGTTCAATATAACTCAAGAGCAATATCAGGGAACAAGGCCACCTTACAGATTTAATGTTTGCTATTGATAGAACGTGACTATATGGTCAGAACAATACTGTAGTGTATGGAATTGATAATAAGGGAATTAAGATGTCTCAAAATTGTTCTCTTGCAAAAGGAGTCTGTGCAATATCTGCAGTAATTGATCAGATTTATGTTGCCTTCACATGGCCTTTGCAGCCTACTGGCTCCAGAGAGCTTCTTTTGCACGAAAAATTTCTTAAGAACTTACATACATTTTCCTGATTGTGGGTCATGACTTGGAGAATAGATACTTTCCTCAAGGACCTTGCTGCTAAGTGTTAGTATGCATGTTCAAAATTTGTTATTTATCAAAATCAATGTTAAAATTTTACCATACAGATGGCAAAAAAAGATATGATCAATTGATCATTAAATATGCGCCCACTCTATGCATCTGTACCTAGACAGCCAGCACCCTTACCCTGGCTTATGATTCACACATCACAGTTTGCAACTTTGCATAATTGTATTTGTACACTTAGCTAAGTCAATTATGTTTGCTTCACTATTGTACAAGTAAAAGATCCCTTTAATTAATATACAAGATCTCTTTACTTTAATTAATGTTATAGATAAATTATTTCATAATACTTTAACACATAGTTACATTTCAAATAATAATCAAAAAGCAGACAAGTTTGTCTAGCCCATTAGAAACCTGGCAACAATGTCAATGGCCTATTTTTACCTGCAATTTTTCAAAATCACTATGAAATGATCTTTTTTTCTACCTGCAGCCCCAAAATAAGGGAGACTTTGTCTAATATTTCAAATTGAAGTAGGTAGGGTAAACGCGGTATATTCCGACATGACGGAATTACCTACGATGTCGCGGCGACATCGTAGGTAATTCCGTCACTTCTCTAGTTTTTCCTTTATATTAAGCTTTGTTTTAGTTCCATGCGTTCATTGATGGTTAAAATGGTGACGTCATACATTTGCGTGTCGAAATACTGCAAAAACACTAGGTCTTGGCCATCTAGCGGGAAAATATTGAGATCCAAAGAGAGACAATGCATGCCACGTGGTGAGATCATCGAAAAATGTGTCAAATTTGACAGTTGACATGGCTCTACCAAATAGTGAATAACTGTTTTTATAGGAAGAATATTATGGTTTGAGACTTTTAAATTCCTCTGTGAAAATATTAGGAATCCTTTAAGTATACTTGTATTCGCTGATTTCAAGTTGTAAATAGATTAATAGATGATTAAGTTGAGATGTTGGATTTCGACACATGAAAATTAATTCCGACACAACTTGAATTGGACACACACAGATCGTTCAAAGCTTTGTACAAAAATTGAAATTTGCTTAATTAAAAGCCTAATAGCTGTTAATTAAAACGTAATTAAGTAGTTTTCAATATTCGTTAGTGTTCTAATTCAAAGCCGTGTTATATCCCAATACAGCTCACACAGCAAACGGAATTCGAACACGTGGATGTCGGCAATACGTATCAGTTAAATTTGAAGCGCTGACGCAATATGACTCACCACGTGTCGGATGTTGCCACACAAAGTGACGGAATATAGGGATTTGGTAGGTTTCCATTCTAAAGGCTTTTTAATAAATATGGCAACATTTTGTGACGTTTTATCGTTGCTGACGCGTAGTGAAGTGTTTTGAGAGTCATGTGAAGGCAACAGAACTTACGTAACGCATACGTTTTTTTTATAGTTTTTCATTTCTCGATGCGTCCTTAAAGTGTCGGAATATACCGCATTTACCCTATAGAGTGCCGGTATATAGCTCCTATTGGAGGAAACTACTGTTAATGTAGGGCTTTTCCAATCTTGCACTTGCAGTACTGCTACAGCACAGATGAGATAGCCAATAACATAAGCATGGATTTGGATTTGGGGCGTGGTGACTGAATGGAAGAATGACATTTCAGAGTCAGGCCTTTGCAGCGGCCACCGGCACCGGCCATCAGCCACGCATCACATACCTATTCATTTGTGAGTAGAAAGGAGGAAGAAAGGGAAACTATAATTTATAAACAGCAAGGAGGGTGTGAAAGTTTGTTTTAGGTGTAAGATGAGAGCTAGGTGAAAGGAAATCAAGAGATTATTATTGTTATATTATTATTATATCATTATAGGAAATCAAGAGATTATTGACCTGCATTATTAGCAGGTCAAGATTGAGGGTACCCGTGTGATTTTTCGAAAAGTTGTGCTCACCACTCTTGCTTATCATACGGGTCATTGACCAACAACAAAATACTATATTAGGTACTGGTGTTTTTAAGCATACTCACCTTTTGTGCTGCTTGATAAGTAATACTTCTAAATGAACCGAAAAATATCGGCACTAAAGCCATGACTACTAAACTCCCATATGCTAGGGCGACCCCTTCTGGTGTAGCAGGCTCTTTGGTAGTAATATTCTGGGCAGTTTCCGTGACATTTTCCACGACAGTTTTCGTGATTTGTTCAACAATACTTTCACTCATGATAGCGGTCAACTCTCAGCGTCGCAACCACGACTCAGCTGAGAACAACTTGTAACTGCCGCAAAGATTGATGACGTCACACAGATGTCACAGTGTCAACATGCCAAAGAAAATCGTTTAATTAGTTTTTTATTAATTAGGTAGCCTAGTTTCTTGAATTTAAATAAACTATCGGGGAAAATAAATTTTCTTTTGTATTTAAAAAGTTAGCGCACTATTTTAGAAAAAGATTTTATACTGATTTTTGGGTCTCAACGTGTCACTGAACGTGCAACAACATTTGGGAGATCTCGCTACAGAAGAAAAATCGTAGTTTCCTACACACGCACAAAAAAATGCAGTTTAATTACCGATGATGTTATAAAAAGAAAGATAAAAATATTCGGCGTTATGAAATAAACTGTGCAACTGGCGTTCGGCTACACAATGATTGAGTTTTTGTTATAGTCACTTATTCGACTATAGTTGTAGGAAAGAAGCTCAAGTGACACCATTGTTCAAAAAAGGTGACAAAAGCTGCCCGGGCAACTATCGCCCTGTCAGTATGACAAGTGTCGTTTGCAAGGTAATGGAAGCTGTTGTGAGGGATCGATTGATAGATCATTTGACTGCTAATAATCTCCTATCAGACTGTCAACATGGCTTTATTGCCGGGAGATCCTGCACCACTAACCTCTTGTCGACTCTGAACGAATTGACCCGCCTGCTGGACGAAAGGGAGCCAGTAGATGCAGTGTACCTCGATTTTGCCAAGGCATTTGACAGTGTCCCACATGAGCGGTTGTTGCGTAAATTGAAGTCTTTGGAAATTGAGAGTAATGTACTCAAATGGATCCGAGATTTTCTAGTAGGGAGGCGACAACGTGTCAGTATTAATGGGTCCGTATCAGACTGGGCTTCAGTACGCAGCGGCGTGCCACAAGGAAGCGTTTTCGGGCTTATTCTATTCCTTGCGTTTATAAACGATCTGCCAGAAGCTTTGTCTAGCGTTTGCTCGATGTATGCTGACGACACAAAAATTTATAATACGGTGAAGAATACGTCGCAAAAAGTACAGTTGCAAGGTGATCTTGACAGGCTGGTTGACTGGGCTGATAAGTGGCAGCTGCGTTTTAACGCTGACAAATGTAAAGTTATCCACCTTGGCAAGAATAATGAACAGCATGATTACAGTATGAGAAGACACGGTTGCAACGACAGAGTGATGATGTCGAAGTCGACAACGGAAAAGGATTTAGGAGTTAATATCGACAATGAGTTGAAATTTTCTAAGCATATTGAAGGTCAAATTAATGAAGCCAATAAACGACTTGAACTGATCAGACGCTCTTTCCAGTTCCTAGATGCAGATACGACGAAGCAGTTGTTTATTGCTGTCGTGCGCCCGAACCTAGAGTTTGGAAACGTCGTGTGATCAGCGAAATTTGAAAAGGACAAAAATTTAGTAGAGAATGCTCAAAGACGCGCAACAAGGATAGTTCCGGGCTTGAAAGGCAAGTCCTATGAGGAAAGATTAAAGATTATGAAGCTTCCAAGCCTCCGTTATCGACGTCTGCGTGGGGACCTCATTGAAGTATACAAGTATACCCCAGAAGGATTACTAGAATTTGAAACAAGAACCAACACCAGGGGCCACGGCTATAAACTAAAAAAACAGCGTTGGAACACATCCATGCGACAACATTTCTTCTCGCTTCGAGTCACCGACATGTGGAACAGCCTCCCCGATAGCATCGTTGACGCTCCGAGTATGAACATCTTCAAAAACAGACTAGACGAAGCTATGCAGGAGCATATGTTCAGTCTTAAAATGCCTAGCAAACTACGGACCAGGGCCTATACTTTCAAAAAAAAAGTCAAGAGATCGTAAGTTCATCAGCCAATCATTGACGGCCTTTCGAGCAAAATTGACGGCCATTTCGAGCAAAAGTTCTGTGGTGCGTAAATACACCCTAATTTTGGCATTATCAAAACTTTCGTACGCAGGTCTTATCTAAAAGCCTAATTTTTTTTCCCGTGCACATTTTTATCGCGCAAATGTTTTTATAAAACCACCGCTAGTATTACGTTGTCATAGCAACGCCACTCGTAAGTCGATTTTGCGTAATTACGAAGTTTTGATATTACGGCCCCAGGTCTTAGGACACGTCGAGCTAGAGGCGGGTCGCCTGCCGAAGACCACCACTGCCCTGGATGTAATGGACCATCATGATTCCTGCTTTCCGGAACGTAGCCTTCAACACTACAAGCCGTCCGTGTCTAAGCCGTGGGTCGAACCAGCCCTCGGTCGAACGGCCACTCGTCGAAGGACGATAAATTTTGGAACAGAACTTTGTTATCTGAAACCTAACCTTAGATACGATGAACGTAAAATTACGTAATTTAACGATGCCCGGATGTCATATTCGATCTGCGGCCAGGTGGTGCACGGCAGGTTTTATGCCAGGCCGGATGAGGACAAAGCCGAGTGGTTCACGGCTGATTGGTGGATATCCGGAGAGATGCAAGGTGTTCGATTCAGGGCTTATTGGTGCACAAAATTGGTGGTGCATGGCTGCGCTCCCCTAGAGGAGACGCAGAGCTCCTGGTGAGAGGCGTGTAGCTGCGCACGCGGTACCACACCACGCCCTCACCCACACACACGATCACTGCGTCCTGTGGGTGTATTATTCTATACTTTATATAAAGCATAAGTTTACTCTCTAAGATGGGCAGTCAAACCTAAAGCTACTCAACTCAAATGTAAAATGCCCTGATCAGAGGATAATTTTTGAAGCAAAGGTCTTCAGTAATGCCACTAAACACTAATGAATCATTCGTGTGATGCATTTTAATTAATCGTAATTTTATGTCGTACTCAGCTGCCAGGTTGACCGAAAAATTATATTTCAATTATATATTTCAATGAGAAGTCTATCCTTCTATCGTAGCAACAAGACGCGGTCTTGTGAGTTCAAAGATACATCTCAAGTCTGCTTCAGCACTAACCCGTTTTGAGCACAAGATTTGATCTCCAAAAGGTCGAAAAAACACATTCACGGGTAGGTGGCTGAAAAATATATAAGAATTTTCGGGTGAATTGGCTGGTCTTCGGAGAGGAAGAAGGCCGGCAATTAGATATGCGGAGCATTTCGAACCTTGAACGCCTTTTTGCTTGTGTTGTTGTTGATGAGCTTCGAGAATATGTCTCTCGCGTGCAAAGGAAGATCATACAAAATGCATCGAAAAATATCGCTTGCAAGTGTTCGTATTTCATCAGCATCGCAAAAACAGTTTACGAACTCTTCTTTAACAGAATTAATAAGTGTGTCATGATCTTTTGATGTAGCTGACCACCAAGATGTTCATCTCCGTCAACCTCATTCATACACTGGAAAAAAGAAGCATCCGTCTATTGTCAATTGAGTTTGTGCAGAGCTTGAAACACGTGTACTGAGTAGGCAATACAACACATTATCGACTCCCAGATCATCATATTGCTACTTTTTCCAGTGATTGACTGTAAATATCTGATATTAATAGAGGATTTCCTTTACGCAAGGAACATTGATTGCCCTTCGACAACCAACTCACTGATTTGATAACTTTGACAATCAACTCAACAGCGCAATCCGGGTTCAGACCCGGATTGCGCCTCAACAGTTAATTGGTGACCACTACATATGGTCTAATACGTCATCTACGAATTCCTAATTGATACGGTGTAACAATTAGTTAAGTTTCAAACGAAACGGTCTCATCTATTTAATGAATGTCTTATATCATTCAATAATCTCTCTTTTAGAATGAAAGATCAGCATGCAGCGATTAAATATGTTTGAGCTGTTAAATTTGTAATACTAAAGAAATCCCTCTAAGTGATGGTCCCGTGGGGCAAAGTTCTTGTTTAAATTTAATTAAAAATTTAAACGGTTAAAGTAAGGTGAGCGTGGTCAACAAATTACGCAAGCGGCGCACGTAAGGCAGTTCTTACGATAGCTCTTAGGAAAAAACTTGATGAAAACTTGCGACACCTTTTAAAGCAAAGCGAAGGCAACTCTTATCTATGACAAGTTTGTGGTATCTCAAAGCAAGGTTGTTACAGCTATTGGAGAAACTTGAGGCAGCTTTTCAAACGAACTCAAGACATTTTAGGCAAGCTTGAGGCAACGTTTACAACAAGTAGTAGGCAACTTTTATAGCAAGCATATAAGGCAGCTCATAAGCTTATATAAGCATGATAAGGCAGCTTTTAAAGTCAGCTTTATGTGCCTCTTAAAGCAAGTTTGAAGCACTAGAAGCAACACTGGTGGCACACGCATGGCAGATCACATGACAGACCTGCACGTACGTTGATCTCAGTGGACCGAGCCTCGAGGTCGGGCCGGGCGGGTACGCGGAAGAGCACGTCACCGCTCACGGCCGCGGCCACCGCCTGGCCATCTCTGCGTGTTGACAAGACGGGAATTGGTGATTATTTTCTATGAATAATGTTGTGCATACATATAATATTCATAAATAATTAATTCGAGTGAGGAAATCGTTGAAATTGACAAATAAAAATTATTATGTGAAAGAAAACTTGACCTTCGAACGTGGGACTCAAAAATGTATTATTGGAACATTTTTTTTCGTATCAGAGAAAGTTTTTTCCTCGCCTGTATTAAATTGTTGTTATAGCTTTATTCACACTGAAGAAAATTTCGTCTTTAAATTTGTTCACCTCTGCTGAACAGCCTCAACAAGAAGAGCGGGGCCCAGTGGAGTGGGGGGGCTGTGGGGGGCAGGCAGCCCCTCTCTGGGACCCCGACCCCTCCACACGCTGATGCCCAGGTCGCAAGCAGGGTCCTGGGGGGATAGACGTACGTTAATTCAATATTTAGTGGAAAATAAAAACTAAGAGATTCAATGAAAAAATGAGGCTGGAACAATGAGCACGGTTGAAAATAAGCTGTAAAGTCTGGAAATGGGCTACAAAGAACACTCATGATTCGTTTAATAATTATAAGTTACTTTCATTATTCAAGTCACTCTGGTGTGAATTACAACTATTTGCCGGGAATCGTCGAAAGCCGATAATAATATTAAATCATTTGAATATGTCATATACAATATACCCGAATGCCGTAAAACGTCAAAGTAAATGCTTTGAAGCAGAGATAGTCGAGGAGAAAGTATGGCGCTATGTGTCACATAAGAATAAGACGCAGTGCAGGTTTATTACGCTACGTGTCACATAAGAATAAGACGCAGTGCAGGTTTACGTAACGTACGTGCAGGTGCACGCGCTTCATGGTGCAGACGGTGCCGGCGAGCAGGTCTCCGCTGCGGCGACGTCGCACATGCACCGGGGAGCTCAGCTGCGACAGGCGACTTGTCGCCGCTGGGGCGCTCAGCTGCAGCAGGCGACCCGTCGACTCCAGGTCGTCTGCCTCCTCCAGCTGTAACACGACTGGTAATTGAGTTGTGCTCTGCATTTTCTACGGTAGTTTGTGTTTAATATTACTAGCGAAATACTTTTGCATAATTATGAATAAGCAATTTTACTCAACGGTTGCTTTCTTATGAAATTCCTTTTCAGTTCCGGTAAGCGATTTCTGAAGCTCTTAATTGACGCACGAAATTCGTCCATAAATTTGTATCATAGTTATTGTAGACAAAGTTCCTAATATATAAGTATACAAGTGTCTAAGAGCATATAAGTAAATAAGTGTCTTGATATTTGAGAAGTATGCGATATGAGCTATGGTAAATTTTGAGTACTATGGAAACCTGAAAAGGTTGGAAGATATTGGAGTTTTTAACGCTCTGAGCTCAATATGAGTTTTCAACACATTTTCACGCTATGGGCTCATCCGACACAAAAAGTGCTCCTCCGACCAGCTTCTCCTCTTGTGTTGGTACAACCTGTAATTGATTGAACCACTCGTATGTCATTTGACCGCGTCGGTAAGAAATTGCTTCAATCGTTTTATTGCTAAGTTTTAGCGGTACAGTTCAACCTCGCTTTACTCAGCTAATGTCCCTTATTGATCTATGCAAAAATATCATGCAACAAGCTATGTGATCTATGTAAAGTAGTTAGGTTATTGTTAAGAATGCCATCAATGACTGTTTGATAATCTTGTAAAAAATGCTGCTCATTCAACACCAGCCATCAAATCGATCATAAAGTGATGATGCGTAAACTTAAAAACTAGGCTCCTGGGAACTTTTCCGAATAATAAATAAATTAAGAATAAAGTAGGGCTATGCCACGATTTGTTCGATTGAGTCATTTAATTTTTGGTTTTACAGTCACAGACTCTTTTGCATATTCGAGAACAGAGCGAAAATAAAAATCAATATATGCAGAGGCGGCACCTGTTACGTATAGATTGTGTTCAGCAGCCCACGTGTGATTCCTATATAAAGAGTTATGAAGAATAATAAGACGTATCATAAAGATCTTCTATATTGACGCTCATATCAACACGAGATATTCTCTTCATTTGCACACACAGATTTTAAAAGACATCTTGCCTAACCACCTCACTCAGGAGTAATCCTGCGGTCCATTAGGTCGACTTGTAGGATTTGTTCCAGTAACAGTTTACAGAGAAACGAAGACGTATCGCTGGGCCATGAATCCTGCAGGATTGTGTGGCTTGAGTAATGTTTCTCTTTGCCTCGTTACGCAGCTTTATTTCTAAATGCAAAAAAAACAGGAAAAAATAATGTTCTTTTTCACTCAGGGTTATTGTGGTTAATACCTTGTAGGAATGTGAAAGCAGTGATTGTCCTAAGACGCTTGATACTCTTGAAGTTTGTGATGTTTAACGAATACAAGGAGTTACGTTGGATAAATAGTAAGCATTTATACAGCGCCCTGTAAGAAGCACTTCTTAAAACGTTTACCTTTTACGAAGCAATGGAAGCTAAAAGAATATTGTTGTTGGAAGCAAATATTTTCCATTCAATTTAATCTGATACGATTAAAGAGAATAATGCAAAATAAATGACATCTTTTAACAGTTTATAAATAAATGCCATCTTTTACACAGTAGTGATCAACATATTTTTCAATGGTTCTTAAAACGAAAGGTCAATTTTTAAGATTGTGGGGGCAACGCGGTCACGTTGTGGGGCACATGCCGTCTATTCTTGTCCTATCAGTCACTGGAGGCCGCGGCTGATCTGATAACTTTCTCTGGCGCCATAAAATTTATAAAAGTCACGACAGTGAAGTGAACGAGTCTCTATATATAGCATATGGCGACGTCATCTTAAGGCCCGGAGCATAAATTAAATCTGAGTTCAAAGTGAGCCGATGATGCAAAAAATTAGGTTGGAATAATATTCCTGTGCCATAAAGCAAGTAATGTTATTTACTTTATTATTTTTAAATCGCTAAGGAAATCCAACATTTTCGACAAATATGACGCAGAGGAAAATTAAGACAGCCACGATTGACAAATAAATGAAGCCCCCATCATAAAATATACAGTCATCGCTCATCATCTTGTACAAAATTTACGTTTCAATGTTACTGGCGTCCGTTCAATAAATAAAAAAAGTAAACATGAATTTGCTTTGTCTGAGAATACCTTGGCTTGACCGGAACCGAAAAGGCCAGAAATTGCGAAAGAAATATAACACGGTTTTTGTGAAGCATTACAAGAGATCTATTTCTTTCCCAAGCTCGTTATAGGCAGATAATTGCAGCAAAAATTATCCACGATGGTTGTAAAGGGGGGAAATTGTGGTCAAATGTTTGCAATTCTACAGAAATATCAAATATTTTATTTCTATTAATTCGAATCTGGTTTGGAAGGTGAAATAATATTAAAATTTGGGGTAAACGGCATAAAAATAATTTTAAAAATCACTGAGCGTCTCTAAAGTCTTTCGAGTCCATCTTTTGCAGTCGCAACAACGATTTTTCCCAAATTTCAGTAAAAACTGAAATCCCGAACGATTGCTAATTGACATGAGACAAAATTTATTGTTAAAACATTTGGAATATTTTACAGAACTATTTAATTTTTCTAATGTTATTTATAACGTAACGCCAATGTCGATATTATAAAAGAAATCACACCTCTTTCGTATGAATAGCTTCACCATTTATGTAACTCGCAAACACGGGAAAATTAAGAACAGGTTTTCATCGTTTCTTCGACGTCACATCGTACGGGGTATTGGACCTATATAAAAAAACTTAAATTGGGAAGTTCAATTCTATCACATAAGTTATTCGAAAAGTTTTATTAAAATTCAACATAGAAAATATGTAGGAAAACGACTCTTACTTAATTAAACTGATGAACTATTTTGATTTTATTTCGCTGTCACGCTCACAGCATATGGATAAATATTATATCACATTTTTCGAGAATTTCGTAAATTTTAAATTGTTTAAAATTTGAATCACTTCGTGACATGTAACACAGAAACGAAAACAAGTAAGAATAATTATGTTATCGGTCAGCACCGGAAAACGCTTCCGTCATAACAATATTATGTGTTTTTTAAGAGAAAGATTTAGTTTTTCGCTACATATTGTAAATTTTTAACAAAATTGTGACTATTTATAGCACTAAAGTGAGCAACTGGTTGACAATGGCTGAGTATGAACAATAGCTTGAATAGATTCGATTCGAGACTCTATTCAGCATCACTAATTAATTACCCTTTGTCAAATCGACATGATCGAATATGCAAAGCTTCGAAACTAATTCTTTCTTGCTTCCACTGCATTGATGGAGCATAGAAGCTTTACACAATGAAGCCTCTATTCCCATTTAATTGCGATCACTCTTTTAAATTTCGGCCTTCTAGAAAGTATGTTCTATTTCGGTGACTTGATTTCTTACCTCGTAGGAATGAATGAAAATTGAAAATAATATTCTCATGAAGGACATGAATCCCTCGTTATACATAACCTTCAATGATAAGTTACTGACTGAAATTACCGTGCTGATGAAATAATCAGGCCAAGCCTGATTAATATTAAATATTAATCAGGTGGATTGGATGTTGGATAAATAATATTGAATTGGTCTTAGCATTATTTTGTTGGTAGCCTATTGAACTATTGCATGAGCGGCAGCAAGACGTGTCTCAAGTATGCTACATAGATTTAATTCTTAAATCTTGGGAGAACTTAAATTAAGAATAAACGGCGAGTGCCGTTTCCATTTTTCCATTGACTGGGGGATATATATATTCCTTCGATTTGCTTGCCTCAATAACGCATTTGACGCAGCATTATCTCCATAATATTGATCCTGTTGGAGTTGATATCAATTGGATCTTGAATCCCAATGCACACTTCTTTTATTATTCGATTCATTTTGATTTATTAATGCTAAAAATCATGCTTCCTCATAGCTTTATTAATACGAAACATTTTATTCCTTCCTGTAAAATTATGATAATGTAGATAAGAATAAAAAATTATTCTAAATCCATTATTGAAGTGATAACACAAATGCATTCGTCAAGTTTGCAGCAAGCTGATAGTACGAGTGTCATAATTTGGATTAAAATCAATTATAATTAAATGAAAGTTTACGCATGCATGAATATATAGCACAATTTTTGATGAAGCTGCAGGTCCTAGAAAATTTTTAACGCAACATGTATACTTTTTTTAATTTCAATTTAATTTCTTTTATATTTAGTGTATGCCAAAAAACATTGCAAATTGTTTGGTAATGCAGAAAGTCTAACATGATTTTTTACTTTTTAATTTTTGCGTAAATCCATGATATTTCCATAGAGATCTGCATGATTAAATCTACCACCTTCATAGAATTCTTACTAGAATTAAGAAAAATCAATTGTAATTTGAAGCAGTTGTTCTCAACGTGGACTGAAATGCCCTCCAGTGGGCGCCTGTGAGTTACAAGGGTCTAATACAGGGAGCGCCCGGTATACATATTGAGCGTTTTCGATCAAGACCCAGATGTTTCATGAGTCTCATTGTTAAAGAATTTCAATAACCTGAAATAACCTTAAAAAATGGTTGCCGAAAAGCATAGCTAAAAAATACATTCATGATTGAATTATAATCATGCGGTTGCGAGAACAGTTTACACAATCTTGCTCATGAATTGCAAATCACATTAAGGCTCGAGGTTTTTCACGACGTCTTTTTCAGTTTCTATGAAGTCGGTATCAACTTCGAAGCTGAAACTGACTTATATTATTGCTGGAGGACATCATTTGTTGTAACTCCAGCACAGTCTTGCAGGTTAGTACGCATAAAAGACACCGAGTTTTTCGCATATGTATTTTAACGGGTATGTACAATTCGTTGTGCCGCGTGACTAGTCTCCTCCAGCCCATCTCTCTTAAACGAGAATTAACAATATATTGATATAATTCTTTCTTTATTCACACAGGAGCATAGAAAAAAATTCATAACAAGAAAATGGCAAAAATTTGGAGCAAAAAA